TCTCCACAAGACAAGCGCTATGAAGCAACCCATCACCTCATCAAGTATTGAGTGAAACAGCAGCTAGATGCCTGCCAGCATGGACAGGAACTATTTTATGGCTCCCAAACCCAACTGCCTATTGTCAAATTCATTTTTAAAATGGAGAGAGGTTTACGATACAGATGAACACACTCACTTCTGCCAGTCCCTATTATGTTGGTTCAAAACAAAATATCTTCCAAGGTTCACAAAGCTCCTTCAGCTTCAGAGCTTCTCTTTTTGGGGCCTTTCTACCCAAACATCTACCAAACGCATAACTGTTCCTTTGATGCACTTCTAAGCATCTCCATTTACAACTGTCCACCCACTTCGCCACCCGCGGTCAAGTCAGGAACCTGAGAAATACATTCCAAATAAATCAGAAGCATCTTCCAGAAAAATAGGAGGAAAGGAAACACGGTCTGGTTGCAAAGGACTTGTATACGTTCTTAATCCTTTTCATAGACAAAAATAGAGGCACCCTCGGTGTATTTGCAAGAGAGAAAGCAGCAGAACAATCCAAAAAGAGAGGGCAAAAAGTAAGAAAGTGAAGTTAGAACAGATTTCTCCAGACATTCTAAAGCAAGTAGGCCAAGTCACGAAACAGGAGCAAGAGATGGTGGACTGAATCCAATTTTATGAGTAAGTCCATTATTGCCATTTAGGCAAATCTGCTTTGTCAACTCCAGTTGGAGTAGACAACATTGACACTGAAATGCAACACTGTCTGAGCTCTGTGAGTGCAGCATTTTTCCGAATGAAGCACAGAGTGTTTGAGGACTGGGACATCCGTAGGGAGACCAAGGTGCTTGTTTATAAAGCTATTGTCCTCCCAACCCTGCTACACACCTGCGAGACATGGACAATCTACAGACATCACTAGAATGATTCTATCAGTGTTGCCTCTGAAAAATTCTGAAAATCTCTTGGAAAGACAAGTGGACAAATGTCAGCATGCTGGAAGAAGCAAAGACCACCAGCACTGAAGCAATGGTCCTCCGTCATCAACTCCGCTGGACCGGCCATGTTGTCCAGATGCCCGGCCACCATCTCCCAAAGCAGTTGAGCTACTCCAAACTCAAGAACAGAAAACATAATGTTGGTGGACAGCAAAAGAGATTGAAAGACGGGCCCAAAGCCAACCTCAAAAACTCTGGCATGGACACTGAGAATTGGGAAGCCCTGGCCCTTGAGCATTCCAGCTGGAGGTAATCTGTGACCAGCAGTGCTATAGAATTTGAAGAGGCACAAATGGAGGGCGAAAGAGAGAAATGTGCCAAGAGGAAGGCGCATCAAACCAACTCTGACCGGGACCATCTTCCACCTGGAAACCGATGCCCTCACTGCGGGAGAAGATGCAGATCAAGAATAGGGCTCCACAGTCACCTACAGACCCATCAGTACACTGATCTTGGAAGACTATCCTACTCAGAAAACGAGGGATCACCTAAGTAAGTAAGTACTATGGGAAGTCAGCTTCTGCAAATCCAAGGATCAATTGCACTGGGCAATACATATTTTGGTTTCTCAAAGTTTAGCCCTGTTTCTGGGTATATTTGACCTGCTGGTTCCAAACATAGCACCAGTTTCCCCTATCAGTAGCCATCTGCTCACCCACAGAAAATCATGATAACCATATCGAAGAAATGAGAGCTGATACAATCTATCCAATGCGATTTTCTGAATCAGCACCCCAAATAATCCTATGATTAAGCCTAAAAATGAATATTTTTTTTATTTGTTGAGCTGCATTATCTTCTGCTGAAATTGCTCCGATCTAAATCCAAAAAATGAAAATTGGGGGAAAAATTGGGAGGCTTTCTGTATATATTTCAGATTTCAATATTAATGTCAAAAATACGTAGTATGATTTTACATAGGATTTGCGCTACATTAGAACAGTAAAGACAAATACCACTTAAGTAAAATAAACATTAAATATTAAATAACCAGGAAATTGGGGGGCCGGGCTGGTAGCATAACTGGCTAATCAGGTGCAATAAATCACTGCCAACCGAAAGGTGACAAGTTCGAAGCCCGAGTCAGGGTTGAGCACCCGACTGTTAATAGCTGTTTTAAAAAAGCTGTTAAAAATACCCAGCTCACTGTCGACCTAAGCAGTTTGAAAACAGCTTGTGAGTAGAAAAATTAGGGACTATTTAAAGCGGGGAGGCTAATTTATGGCACCATAAAAATGCCGGAGAGCAAGGAGGAAATACTACGATCAAAAAGTTTCGGCGTCATAGTGAACAAAGCAACAGCTCCCCCTGTGGCCAAATCGAGCAACCTCCTGGATCTGGTGGAAGAACTGCTGAATGGCCTCTATCTGTCTGTATGTCTTGTATGTCAAAACCGGCATTGAATGTTTGCCGTGTATATGTGTATTGTGATCCACCCTAAGTATCCTTCAGGGTGAGAAGGGCGGAATATACCATGTAAACTCGAATATAAGCTGAGGCATCTAATTTTACCACAAAAAACTGGGAAAACGGATTGACTCGAGTATAACCCGAGGGTGGGAAATGCAGCAGCTACTGGTCAATTTTAAAATAAACATAGATACTAATGCAATTACATTAATTGAGGCATCAGTAGGTTATATGTTTCTGAATGTTTACATAAAATTGTAATATAAGATAAGACTGTCCAACTCTGATTAAACCATTATTCTAACCTTCTTCAAAGTAAATGTGCTTACGTATCCTTCCAATAATAATAAAGTTATACATGTAATAACAATAAACAATATTTATTGTTGTAATAATAACAACAATAAATAATAATAATAATAATAATAATAATAATAATAATAAGAGGGGTATTTTTTAAGTAAGGTCCATTTTGTTGTAGACACTAGTAGTTTGCGCGCATATCGCAACGAGCACGTGCGTCGTGTACCGGCATGCCTCGAGAACAACTGTGCTCAGTTTCCGCTTTGTAGCAAACCTGTACAGTTCTGTTCTGTGCTTTAAAAATGTTTAAGACTATCAACTCACCCTCTGTATGTGAGATTCGTTCAGTGATACGGTTTTTGTCAGCAAGGAACCTGCCTGCTGCAGAAATCCATCAACAGATTTTTGAAGTGATACTGTGATACTTCGGTGATACTGTTATGAGTGAAAGCAAAGTGCGTAAGTGGGTACGACAATTCAAAGATGGCCGTGACAACGTCCATGATGAGGACTGCTCCGGTTGCCTTTCTTTGATTACAGACGATTTGGTGGCTTCAGTTGAAGCGAGGATTCGTGAAGAGGGTATTTTAAAATTGGTTCAGAGGTATGATAAGTGTTTGAACAAACTTGGCAACTATGTCGAAAAACAGAGTGAAGTATGTACTTTCTGAAAATAAATTTACTTTTTTGAAATAAACTTTCGTTGTGTACTTATGTTCAAACGGACCTTACTTAAAAAATACCCCTCGTAGTAATAATAGTAGTAGTAGTAGTAATAATAATAATAATAATAATAATAGAGTAGGATTTAAAGATCGAACTGCAAAGACCCTGGCACAAGCCAGTCAAGGTGGTCCTAGTGGTGATCGGCACACTGGGTGCAGTGCCTAAAGACCTTGGCCTGCACTTAAACACAATCGGCACTGAAGATTACCATCAGCCAGCTGCAAAAGGCCACCCTACTGGGATCAGCACGTATTATTTGCCAATACATCACACAGTCTAGACACTTGGGAAGTGTCGGACGTGTGGTCCAATACAACAGCCAGCAGAGTGATCTTGTCTGCTGTGGACTCATCTTGTTGTGTTTCAAAATAATAATAATAATAATAATAATAATAATAGTGGTGATCGGCACACTGGGTGCAGTGCCTAAAGACCTTGGCCTGCACTTAAACACAATCAGTGCTGACAAAATTACCATCTGTCAGCTGCAAAAGGCCACCCTACTGGGATCTGCATGCATTATTCAGCGATACATGACACAGTCCTAGACACTTGGGAAGTTTCCGACATGTGATCCAATACAACAGCCAGCAGAGTGATCTTGTTTGCTGTGTACTAATCTTGTTATGTTAATAATAAATAGAGTAAATTAATAAATGCAATAATAATAATAATAATAATAATAGAGTAAAATAATAAATAACCTTGACTTAAGTATAAGTCAAGGAGGACTATTTCAGCCTAAAAAAATGGTTGAAAAACTTGGCTTATACTTGAGTATATACAGTAAATACTGTAAATAAATATATGAATAAATGTGTAATGTATTTAAAATGTGCATTGCTGGTCCCGGAAGCTGGTCCACAAGAAGCATGGATTATTGAAGAGGAAAGTAGAAAAAATAGTTGTGGGTGCCATGTAGCTCAGGACCCATGTTGGCCACCATGACCTACATTGATATCTATGCTTTGCCAAAAGCCATGGGATATCACCTTCAGCTTCTAATTACACGGGAGTGCTCTTGATATCACTGGAACACCTTAGGATTGTCCTGTAACTTTGGGGAAGTTTTTATCTGACAGTCATATTGGACCATCACGAACTTTTTGGGGCACCTGGATACTAAACTCACAATGCCTCTGGATCAGATCATTTCCCAGCAATCCCTGCCTGGAAAATAATTGCATTCACTTGAGTGGCTCCAAAGCATTTCAAATGCTGAAAAGTAATTTCACCAAATTACTATGGAATTGTGGGGAAAGAAAGAAGGTGGGGCGACTTTCGCTGGGAACGCGTTTGCGGGATTTTATTGCTCGTAGAATGATAAAACAACACTTTGGGTTTTAAAATAATCTGCTCTAATGGCTGTCAGAATTGCAACTGGAAAAGCAAAGTTGCTTTTTTTATTTTAATTTTATTAAAGGGAAGTGAACAAAGACTACCCAAGGCACCACAATAAAATTACATTAACTGTAAAATTACATTATTAATTCTTTAATCTCACTTGAGGCCTCAAGCTGTTGCTATGTCCAATTACCCAGCTAACCACCTGTCAGAATTGTAAAGCTAGTTTAACATTACCTCCAGGACAGTTCTGTGCCCTGTGTTCGGTCAGGTCTGCCAGTGAATCGAAGTCCTGCTGACAGTTATCGCAGGTGTAAATTGACTCGTCCTCCATGTCTTCATCTTCCTCATTTCGCTCTTCCTGACTCGTAATGCTGTTCCTCTCTTCCAAAGCCCGGCTCTCCCTCGTATCATTCTCTAGTTCTCTGCCCAGGCCTCCTGCCAAGAAGAATAGACTTCATTGTAAGTTTGGATTGCATGAGGTTTAGAAAAGCAAAGAATATGTGCATATATTACGACACCTTCATCATTATCTCTCACACACGTCTTGGTTAGTTCCAGCCCTCTTCATTAAATGGAATACAGAGGAGCTCTTTGGCATTGAGGTGGCTCACAGCAATAATTAACTAATGGTTTGAATGTTAACTCTTATTCTTTTTTTATCTCCCCACCATCCCATGCCCACTGGTATCCACTGGGGTGGGGTTCAGGACCCCTACGGATGTTCAAGTCCCATTACTTGAATGGCATAGGAACATAACGTCCCTTATAAAAAATAACAAAATCCAAGTTTTGTTTTGAGATTTATTATTTACTAGCTGTCGCCTGCCACGTGTTGATGTGGCTCACATAGGGGTTCTGTGTGGGAGGTTTGGCCCAATTCTATCATTGGTGGGGTTCGGAATGCTCTGTGATTGTGGGTGAACTATAAATCGCAGCAACTACAACTCCCAAATGTCAAGATTGTATTTTCCCCAAACTCCGTCAGTGTTCACATTTGGGCATGTTGATTATTCGTGTAGTTTGGTCGAGATCCATCACTGTTTGAGTCCACAGTGATCTCTGGACGTAGGTGAACTACAATTCCAAAACCAAAGGACACTGCCCACCAACAACTTAGCATATGTCATTTTGCAAAGAAACAATAATATCTGTTGCTTTGTTCTTTTTCTTACTCTCTTACAGCATTTCTCAACCAGGGGGTCAGGACCCCTGAGGGGCGTGTCAGAAGGGTCACCAAAGACCATCAGAAAACACAGTATTTCTGTTGGTTATGGGAGTTCTGTGTGCCAAGTTTGGTTCAGTTCCATCGTTGGTGGAGTTCAGAATGATCTTTGATTGTAGGTGAACTATAAATCCCAGCAACTACAACTCCCAAATGACAAAATCAAAAAAATTTTGAGTGAAGGACATACATTGGGTTGTTAGATGTATGCTGTCCAAATTTGGTGTCAATTGGCCCACTGCTTTTTGAGTTCTGTTAATCCCACAAATGCACATTACATTCTTATTTATATAGATTACACTACAGTGTAGTGATTTGTTCCAACTCTTTGATTCTATGATTCTATGAAGGTTGGATGCAAGGGCTGAAATCCCTTCTTGGCTATAGAAAACCCATAGATGGCCTTAGTCGACTCATATTCTCTCCCAGCTTTAAAGGAAGAGAATGACAATGGAAAACACTGGAAAATCTTGCCAAGGAAATCCTGTAATACATTTGACTTAAGAGTCACTAGGTATAAATTGGGAGGCAAGCAACACCAACACAACAGTCCAAGCAAGGAGGATATTCTATGTGAGAGGACGACAACTTCGGAAGAGCAATAGTCCTTTTGTAGGACCCAATAACAAAAATGGTTGGTCAACTGTTAACATCCTCTTTAGCGTTCTTCACAAATCCTGCAACGACTGCAATCAAACCATAGAATCATAGAATCAAAGAGTTGGAAGAGACCTCATGGGCCATCCAGTCCAACCCCATTCTGCCAAGAAGCAAGAATATTGCATTCAAATCACCCCTGACAGATGGCCATCCAGCCTCTGTTTAAAAGCTTCCAAAGAAGGAGCCTCCACCACACTCCAGGGCAGAGAGTTCCACTGCTGAACAGCTCTCACAGTCAGAAGTTCTTCCTCATGTTCAGATGGAATCTCCTCTCTTGTAGTTTGAAGCCATTGTTCCGCGTCCTAGTCTCCAGGGAAGCAGAAAACAAGCTTGCTCCCTCCTCCCTGTGGCTTTCTCTCACATATTTATACATGGCTATCATATCTCCTCTCAGCCTTCTCTTCTTCAGGCTAAACATGCCCAGCTCCTTAAGCCGCTCCTCATAGGGCTTGTTCTCCAGACCCTTGATCATTTTAGTCCCTCCTCTGGACACATTCCAGCTTGTCAACATCTCTCTTGAATTGTGGTGCCCAGAATTGGACACAATATTCCAGGTGTGGTCTAACCAAAGCAGAATAGAGCGGTAGCATTAAGATTTTAAATTGTCGCAGTTTTTAGTGTTGAAAACAACAAATTAATTGCCCAATTTCTAATAGTTAACAAGATCAAATTAATTTTCAATCCTAATGTTTCAAGCTCTATGTGTACAAGATCAGCCTCACAAAACACATCCTCAGTTCTCTGCAAAATCAACACAGAAAGTCCTCAAATTGACGCTAATGGCTGAAAGATTTCCCGTAAATAAGCGTTTTGGCTGTTTCATTTGACGCTATCTTTAAAGGAAAACATTTTACACATGAATCAATTACTCCTGTATCTGAGACTGAAAAGATAATTATATTGACCAAGACTGAAACACAGGAACACAGCCAACAAATACTGTTTATTTCAGCAGAATTACAAACCCAACGTTATAGTTACTGGTGGGTTTCATTTAGGGGGAAAAAACCCCACTAAAAACTAAATTTTCGCAAATTTGCCACAACGAGAGATCCAACATGAATCTGCTAATAGAAAAAAAAATGCTGTGTGGTTTTCTGGGGAGGAATCACAGCATGTAATACCCTTTAGATAGAAATGGAAATATTAAAAATCAATGCATAAGCTTTTAGTGTATCATAAACTCTTGCAATGTTTAAATCAACAGCACATTTTCACATTCGGCAATTGTCACAGTATACCAGTACATCAGCTATGGAAACCTATTAAGGACAGTAGACATTGCATATTGCATTGGTCACAAGATTTTGGGAGGAATCTATTTCTGAGATAACTATTGACATCTGATTCATGCAAAACAGTGTTTCTCAACTTGGGGGTCGAGTGGGGGTGTCAGAGGGGTTGTCAAAGACCACCAGAAAACACAGTATTTTCTGTTGGTCATGGGGGTCTCTGTGTGGGAAGTTTGGCCCAATTCTATCATTGGTGGGGTTCAGAATGCTCTTTGATTGTAGGTGAACTATAAATCCAAGCAACTACAACTCCCAAATGTCAAGGTCTATTTTCCCCAAACTCCACCAGTGTTCACATTTGAGCATATTGAGTATTCGTGCCAAGTTTGGTCCAGATCCATCATTGTTTGAGTCCACAGTGCTCTCTGGATGTAGGTGAACTACAACTCCAAAACTCAAGGTCAATGCCCACCAAACCCTTCAGTATTTTATGTTGGTCATGGGAGAACTGTGTGCCAAGTTTTTTGAATTGCACCGGGACTATGCTGCAGCTGGCTGAGTGTCAGCTGCATTAAGATCACTTCTGACCAAAAGGTCATGAGTTCGAAGCCAGCCCAGGTCGGAGTGAGCGTCCGACCAATTGTGTAGCTTGTTGTCGACCTTTGCAACCCGGAAAGACAGTTGCATCTGTCAAGTAGGAAAATTAGGTACCACCTATGTGTGGGGAGGCTAATTAACTAATTTATGAGGCCATGAAAAAGATTCCAGCAAAGCACTCCGGCAAAGTATGCGGGGAATGTGGAAGTACTTCATCAGTGTTGCAGATTGATGATGGAAGCGACAGCTCCCCTGGTGGCCAGGAAAGTTAAATAGCCTCTGACTGTCTAACTGTATATGTTGTGTGTCTTTGGCATTGAATGTTTGCCATATATATGTACATTGTAATCCGCCCTGAGTCCCCTGCGGGGTGAAAAGGATGGAATATAAATACTGTAAATAAAATAAATAAATCGTTGGTGGTATTCACAATGCTCTTTAATTATAAATGAACTATAAATCCCAGCAACTGCAATTTCCAAATGACAAAATCAACCCCTCCCCAACCCCAGCAGTATTCAAATTTGGGCGAGACAGCAAAGCCTGTTGTTGTTCATTCGTTCAGTCGTCTCCGACTCTTCGTGACCTCATGGACCAGCCCACGCCAGAGCTCCCTGTCGGCCGTTACCACCCCCAGCTCCCTCAAGGTCAGTCCAGTCACTTCAAGGATGCCATCCATCCATCTTGCCCTTGGTCGGCCCCTCTTCCTTTTACCTTCCACTTTCCCCAGCATATTTGTCTTCTCTAGGCTTCCTGTCTCCTCATGATGTGGCCAAAGTACTTCAACTTTGTCTCTAGTATCTTTCCCTCCAGTGAGCAGTCGGGCTTTATTTCCTGGAGGATGGACTGGTTGGATCTTCTCGCAGTCCAAGGCACTCTCAGCACTTTCCTCCAACACCACAGCTCACAAGCATCGATCTTCCTTCGCTCAGCCTTCCCTAAGGTCCAGCTCTCACATCCGTAGGTGACTACAGGGAATACCATGGCTTTGACTAGGCGGATCTTTGTTGCCAGTCTGATGTCTCTACTCTTCACTATTTTATCGAGACTGGACATTGCTCTCCTCCCAAGAAGTAAGCGTCTTCTGATTTCCTGGCTACAGTCTGCATCTGCAGTAATCTTTGCACCTAGAAATACAAAGTCTGTCACGGCCTCCACGGTTTCTCCTTCTATTTTCCAGTTGTCAATCATTCTTGTTGCCATAATCTTGGTTTTTTTGACGTTTAGCTGCAACCCGGTTTTTGCGCTTTCTTCTTTCACCTTGATTAGAAGGCTCCTCAGCTCCTCCTCGCTTTCGGCCATCAGAGTGGTGTCATCTGCATATCTGAGGTTGTTAATGTTTCTTCCAGCAATTTTCACCCCAGCTTGCATTCATCAAGCCCCGCACATCGCATGATGTGTTCTGCATACAAGTTAAAAAGGTTGGGTGAGAGGATGCAGCCTTGCCGTACGCCTTTCCCAATCTTGAACCAGTCTGTTGTTCCGTGGTCAGTTCTGACTGTTGCTATTTGGTCCTTGTACAGATTCCTCAGGAGAGAGACAAGGTGGCTTGGGATGCCCATCCCACTAAGAACTTGCCACAATTTATTATGATCCACACAGTCAAAGGCTTTAGAATAGTCAATGAAGCAGAAGTAGATGTTTTTCTGAAACTCCCTGCCTTTCTCCATTATCCAGCGGATATTGGCAATCTGGTCTCTCGTTCCTCTGCCTTTTCTAAACCA